GAGTGTAAAGTGTAAAGTGTAGAGCATTTCGTGCGAGACTTCCTCCAATTTTGACATTTTCGACACGTTAGCAAACAGGTTGGAATGTCACAAAATGGCACGCCTGCCACGCAAAATGACATGACAACCTGCTTGGAAACCTTCGAAAGGAGAAGTTTTGCAGCTTCCCCCATAGACACGGCGAAGCCACAGGAAAACCAGAGACTCGAGACGAGACACGTGGGTGCAGAAAAACCAGCATTTCGTACGAGACTTCCTCCAATTTTGACATTTTCGACACGTTATCAAACAGGTTGGAATGTCACAAAGTGCCACGCCTGCCACGCAAAACGACATGACAACTTCCTTGGAAACCTTCGAGAAGGAAAGGTTTTGCGGCTTCCCCCATAGACACGGCGACGCCACAGGAAAACCAGAGACTCGAGACAAGACACGTAGGAACATCAAAACCAGCATTTCGTGCGAGACTTCCGCAAATTTTCACATTCTGCATGTAGCTTCAAAATCGACGTTTTCCTACGAGTTTCCGTAGGAACTTCTAAATTTTGCAACCTTAAAGTCGATGTTTCGTGCGAGGCTTCCGTCAATGTTCAGCACATGTCACAAAATGCCACGCCTGCCACGGAATTTGCACCTTGTCGCCACTTGACGCAGCCCTGCCAATGCGATTTACAAAAAACACGCAACACGACACGTCTAAAGTGCTGCGCCTGCCACGAAAAATGACGATGGACACGTCCAAAGTGTTGCGCCTGCCACGAAAACTGCAACACATCTTCTGAAAACGTCGCAAAAGTATTGCGCCTGCCACACAAAACGACTTTCGACACATTACAAAACACCTCTGAATGTCACGAAGTGCCACGCCTGCCACGCGAAACGAAGCAACGAGACGTCTGAAACCTCCAAAAATGACCACCTCTGCAGAACTTACCATAGGCACGGCCATATAGCAATCGCGCGAACGGTTGCGGACGGTTGCGGACGGTTGCGGACGGTTGTGGACGGTTGGGCAACGTCGAGCGAACACACCCGCAACCCCCAGACCCCCAGACCCCCAGAGTGAAACGGGAACCCTTGCTACGCATTCGGGAAAAATTGTTGATGATATCCAATAAAGCATCCTACGTGATTAAATTTTTTATCCCGCACATCCCACATAACTGTTATCCCCCACAACATGCTATCAGATGCTATCAGTCTATCACCACATCCCAAGTGTCGCATCGTTTTTCGGTAGCTCAACTTCAACTGCTCAGAGGTCGCCCTGCCATACGCCGCAGGTGGGGAGATTGCGGATGATAGGATTTTTTGTCGCGACGCAACGGAAACGATGGATTTGCGTGTTGCTATATTTAACTGGTAACATATTTATGGGTAAGCATCATCCGTTAAAAACTCCTCAAAATGGTTTTATCTCTTTATCTCAGGTTGGTGATTCCTGAAGTCAGCCAGACAGGATGACAGGTGGCAGAAGCAGAGGGTCAAACATTCTGGAAAGCTTACCACTCCGGCAAGAACCACCAATAACTGGTTGGTTGGTGGTTTAAAACATTTGGATGATTTTCCATAATATATGGGATAATCCTTCCCCTTGACTTTCATATTTTTCAGAGGGGTAGGTATACCACCAACCAGATAACCTTGGAAGTGTCTGGGGGGAAGCTCATGGGATGCTTACAGCGCTTGCTCCCTAGAGATGCCATTGATATGGGGGTTTCCATAAATGGGGGTACCCCCATAGCTGGATGGTTTATAATGGAACATCCTATAAACATGGATGATTTAGGGGTACCCATTTCAGGAAACCTCCACGTAACTATGGCCGCTACTCGTTGAAATCTGGCACTTATGCATCCGCCATTGTGTTTCTACAAATGACCAGGATCTATACTACTTAGCGGGTGCTTTCAAATGAGGTACCCTGAGATCAAGCCATACGACCTTTGCATGTTTCACGGATTCTAGACCTGCTAAGACACGGATATAACTCGCTGTGTTTGCCATGTTTTGTTTGAAATTGCAGCGTTTGCCGAATCTGCTTCTTCTAGATGTGGGCATGACCGAAAATCAAAAGAGATCCCCCAAAGTCTGTACCATCATTCAATTTTGGTCGGTATCAAAATTGCCAAAATTAGATGTCAAAATGCAAGATTCGTAAGATATATGTCACCAATTGAAATTGGGGTCTCCACTTGAAATACACCACCCAGATGGCGCCCCAGACTCCGCAGTTGGACGTGTCCTTAGAGAACTCAGAGCCTTCGGAACGTTCGGGAACGCAGTGGTGCACGGCGCATGGCGCTCTGGTCTCCGGTGGGCATTCTCCCAAATTGGCAGTTTTATGATGTTTTATGGTGGAAAATGGTAATTCATTAAGTTTAGGGCACCCCATTTTCAGACACACTCAGTTGGACTTCCTCATGTTCAATAAGTACACACACATCATCTCATTATTTGGTCAATGTATACTTGCCGGGGTATTTTTCATTCCCAGCTTACTTGTCTTTGTTTTGGGGGAGAATCCTATTTGAGGTGTTGCGAAAGCAACAACCATTGCTCAACTCGGGGTTCACTCGGCAGACCTTTGGGGGAGACAAGTACAGTATCCAACAGATCTGCTTGACGGTTTGGCTTTACGCATTGGGAATTTCAAAAAAGGGGCGTCTCTGGAAATAGGCTATACCGGGCTATACCGGGCTATACCGGGCTATACCACATTTTGACAGGGCAAATGATGATGAAGCACCGGATTTTGGCGTAGCCGACTTTCAAACACAGCCATTTCATTTGGGGATGCGCTGTGCCGGAGCCAGGGGCAGAGCAGGCGAAAAGTTCCAAGGCCTAACGGGAGGGCTGGGCATAAGGAGAAGGATATGAATCCTGAATCCCTCCTTCCTATTAAACCATTAAACAGAGCCAAAGAAACCATAGTTTGATAGGATATTTACAGGTATTTGGGACCATTTGGGGGTGTTCGATATTTGGGGGACGGGATTACTATTACAGTAGTATGATATTTGGGGAAATGACCTAAACAACGGTTGGTAAGGGGACTCCTTCCAAAATGGCATATGTCAGCTTTGTGATTTATACTTTATAAGATAAAATGATAAAATCATACCCAAGAAGAAAGGCATAGAGCCAACCAAATCGGGGGATAAAAACAGGGGATGCTACCAACAAGTTGGATATTGCTGAGGATGGATCGAAAATGGCAATTTTGATAAGAACATTGGGTCTGAACGTGGGTCCCAAACGGCCATTTTCATAGGGAAAATGATGATTGACTAGTGGATGGACTGGGGTACCCGATTTCTCCCAATCAAATTCGGGGGGTACCTATGGGTAACCTGTTTTCAGACAAATTCAGATCTCGACTTTCGTGGAGCTTTTACAACAGTTCGGATCTAACCGAACGATGCCAGGTTGAGCCTGATGGTTGTGCGTCATCCGAAGTTACTATCACACCCCCTGGCTTGGGAAGGGTCACTCCAATCCATTATGGGAATCTTGCCCCCAACCCTGTCGTTGCGGGTTTCACACAGCGCCGTGGATTCTAAGATTCATAACTTCTCTGCTGCTGATGATGATTTTATTTGGGTGTGTCTTAAAGTGGGGTCTACCTTAAAATGGCAGCTTTAATGGTCAGATGATGATGAACAAGTGGATGGAATGTGATTCCCTAAATTTTCAGAGAAATCGATTTTCTTCCATTTCATTCTTACTTGGGATGACGATGTCACCAACGAATGGTGAATGGCTCATCCTTCGCAGGTGGTACTGGTGAACGGCATCCCGCCAGAACCTGAGCGATAGGGGCATCAATGGGAACTCCCCTTCAATTGGTGGATGGAACGGATGGTGAAATGCCTTGAAAAATCTCGAAACATGAAACATGTGGACCTCCAGAGGTTTGGGTCCCAAAAACGTGGTGGCTTCCCCCATATGGGGGGGTTCCATGTTGGATGTGCGTCGTCAATCCGATCGGCATGAAGGCATCACCGTGATCGTTTCTGGTGATATCTCTGGCCCAAAATCACTGGAACTGGATGGATTATGATCACCGACTTCAAAAGTTAACTTTGAGTCATTTTCACCACTGACGAGTCCTCGAATTCCCGGATCCAGCGTCAATCCGTACGCACATCCAGCACATCGGCCGCACATCGGCCGCGTCCAGGTACACCCAGCTGAATACCATCGGCCGCGGTGGAAGCTCCAAGGCTCCGGAAAACTGAGTTTGGCCCATTCCCAGAGGTTTTGGCAACCAACTAGATCCTGTTGCTTATTTGGATATTTTGGATCCATGCTTGGGACATTTTGTGAAGCATTTTTTTAATGGAGACCAAAGCTCAAGTGAAACATCAGTCTTGTCCTTAGCATCTAATATTTGCCATGACTGGGATAAGTCTAAAATTTCTTATTCACAGCAGGTGCCAAATATATTTGGCCGCTACCTTGGTGAGCGTCATATGGCTAGGGATCAAACGAATCAGTTCCAGCTATTTTGGTCCCAGGGTACCGTTGGGCCCATAGCCAGGGGTTTCCATAAATGGGGGTACCCAAAATGGATGGTTTATAGTGGAAAATCCCATTAAAATGGATGATTTGGGGGTACCCCTATTTCAGGAAACCACCATGTTCTAAACTAACCGTTACTAACCTGATGAACACCGCAGGTGTACCTGGTCCGGGATGGCCACGGCGAAATCTTCGCGTTGAAGCGGGTCATGCCCGGACACCTTTGACATGTTGGGTACTGGGTTGGTGTATGGGAGGGAAATATGGTTCTTGCCATCAAGTATATCTGGAACTTTTCTGCTGATGGTTTAAAGCTATGCCAAGACTTTTCGCTTGGTCAAATTCCCACTCTTGCTTGAACAAATTTGCATTACACATTTTTTGCTTGGTTTGTCCCATCTTCTAGGTTCCTCACTTCCCATTCTTATGTGAACTCTCAAAAAAATGCTGGCCATTGACGTTCTCAAGTGGGGTCCGACCATTTCCCCCCATTTTTTTTTGCCCGTTGGCGCTCCGCGCCGGTGAAAGCACGCCATGGCGCAAGTCGATGTGATCACCGTAGAGAATAGTGAGCAGAGGGACGTGGTGCCCAACGAGACTCAGGGATGTCTCGACTTAAAAGAGAAGAAGCCAGGACTGGCCGGGAAAGGGTTTGGAAACTGCGACTGAGGGTAGGTCATTCACCAACAAAATTGAAGAATCAACATGAATCAACTAATCGTGGATGCGGAGAGAACAGCAAAAAAACATTTAGGTTTATGGTGGACTATGAATAAGAATGGTTGGTGGTTTCAAGTGTTTTAGTTGTCATACCGAGATGGAATAGTGGTCCTGAAGGATTCCTTTTTTGTGGGGTGGGGGGTTGGAATCAAAAGAGGGTACAAAAGGGACCTATCCTTATTCTGATTCCCAGGAGAAATGAGCTGTAGCATGAGAGTTTACCTAAGAAAATATGCCACAGACGGGCAAGTGCAAGTCAACCCTTGATTAAACGCCCCCGATTAGTCAATATTTGAATTGGTGGTGTCCATTTTAATGTCAGACTATCACTTTGTTGGGGTAACCCCCAATTTGCTAGCCTGCATTGACTAATCAGCCATTAAGCCGTTCATTGATTTCGTAGTGGGAGGTGGCCGAGATTGGCAATTTTGGGATTGAACCTTACAGACTGACAGTGTCAAAAAAGGCTTTGGTGTTGCCATTTGCAATTCCCACATTTGCGAAAGCATCAATCTTCCCAGCATGGGACATACGCCGCCATCATTTTTTTTGGGTGGCCAGGAGAATGCGTAAAAGTAAATGGGGTCTCCGTCCCAGCGTCGGCTCTGGAAAAGTTTGTGAATGAGTGGCAAACTTTGAAAGAAGGAGAAACTGCGCCTCTCGCCATGGGTTAGAGGAGAACCAACGTGTAAGTAGCCCCGAGAATTCCCAACAATTTTGGGTCTGGTTCATGGTTTACCCTAGATAGGCCATGCATTGTAGCCATCAAGCAGTCAGTTTACAGGTATCCAACGACTGGATGAATTCTCTTGACCCATAATGACCTTGGTATACCCAGTGGTTGGTGCGCTGAAGTATGATGCTATAGCTGCGCTTCGATCTGGTCTCCAATCTGGTAGAACTTGGACTCGTGGTTTCATTTACAGCAATGTCCAGTACATTGATACTTGATAAAACTGGATTAATTATATTATATTATAATATATATATAATATTATTTTCATTATTGCTAATTACATAATATATAAGCAATAAAATACAATAAATAATAGATATATATATATAATAATGCCTTAAAATGTCTTGCCCATGACTGGGATCATAGGCCCCACTTAAAATCATACCTTTCGGAGGCGCCACTCCCACGGAAAAGTGGTGGGACTCATCCATTACCCCATGATTCACAGTTTATAACTGAATTTATAAATCCATATTCTGGAGATCAATACATATTATATATATACACACAATATTATTATAATATACACTATGTATATATGTAATTTTATATCCCATAGGATCCAGGTATGCTATATATGGTAACATTTACCATCAATATACCCCAAATGTTAGCATATATACCATACATGGATCCTATGGGTATATATAATTACATATATACATAGTGTATATTATATAATATTGTGTATATATATAATATCCAGTAATAAACGGTCCATCATGAATTACCATGATTTTTGGGAAGATTTTATCTCCCCTGAGGCCCCCGGCTCCTGCGACGGCGCCGAATGCACCGAATGCGTTGTTTCGCGCCTTGCTGGCGGAGGCCATCGGCACCGGGCTGATTGCGCCTTGGAGATCGGCACTGGGCAGAAAGTAACTGGTGAGTTACAGGGGGGGACCCCGGGCCCCCCTTCAGATAGCCAAGTTGAGATGTTAAAGTGGCTGATTTTGATGGTTCATGCTAGATATATGTAGATATAACGAACTAGTTTTGATGGGGTTTATAAACCAACGTTCACATCACTGGGGGTTTGATGGGGTTTATAAACGAACTTATAACTGGGGGGCACCATCCTAGAGTAGCCATAGTTAGTTCACCATGTATGAGATGATTCCTTTCCAATTGTGGTTGGGAACCATAGTATATAGTTAGTTCACCCATTTCAATTTGGCTATATTGGGATGATTCCAGACTCCAAATATGGTAAACATAGCATTTGGGGATGGTGTATAGTTTACAGAAGCCATTTTAATGGTGATTAGTAGGGTACATCCTACTTGGTACGTGGTTCCTGATCTTCATTCATGATTCTAAACCGGATATCAGTTACTGTATCTACTCTAAGTTGTATGGATATGGACAATACCTTGTATTACAGCTATGGAATAATACTGCCAGTATTAAGATAACACCGTTCTTGTATCACTATATTTGATAAATGATTTTGATTAACAATATATATATATATAATACTGTATATATATAATATATATATATACATATTATATATATATATATACGTACACATATTATATACAATATATACATACATATGGCCCAAACCACTGCGTTTGAACAAAAACATTCCTGAGGTCATCTTTGGCTGCGGCTCCGTCTGCGCCACACTCTCGGGCGCCTACTCGGGTGTGTGGCAGGTGGCAGCTGCTGCTCGGTGCTGTGACCAGCTGGGTGTTTTGTTTGAGGTTTAAAATTTCCCTGCTTTGGGTGGTGATATATGTATTTATATTTATATATGTATAGTTATGTATACATACATACATATGTGTATATATATATTACATGTATAAATGAAAACCCTCCATGTTTTGGGCCGTGACCATTTTGACCCAAGTGAAGCTTGGCTTATGGTGACCATGGGTCGATTTCACAAAAAATCACGGAAGATATGGGGATGATCCAGCTGAAACTCTGTTGAGGTTACCAATCTTAGATCCTATTGAGTCGATTCCTGAAGTCATCCAAGATTCCTAAGATGGATCATCATGGATCCATGATTCCTAAAATTTTGAACACAAATCCTGTGTTGAGTCCGAGTTACCAACTTTCACCGGCACAGGATGGCACAGGTCTCGTTTCGAATCCACTGAATCCCAGGTCTGGGGCCTGGGCGTATCCTTGGCGATTTACTCTACGGCAGAGGCCAGTGGAGCACATTTGAACCCTGCCATCACCTTGGCGTTTCAGTTGGTTCCGCAGCTGCGATGGGGATGGCGATGGCGATGGATTTAACGCTCACAATTCTTTTTGGAACCACAACATATGGGTATGGATCAATACCTATTAATACCATCTTTAGGGGGATGAACATCCATTTACCAGCTATTTTGATGTTCACCAGGGGTACAAGGTTTTGACACACTGCCATATCTGGCAAAGATCTAAGATTCCGGAAGCTGGGTTTAACTTCGCTAATTTAAGGCACAAAGAAAACTAATATGGCTTTTGGGTATCCACTCAAACCTGACCCATCCAACCGTGTGGGTTTAACCGGCAACGGGGTGCCCGAAAAAATTGATGATTACTCATCATGTTCCCTTTTAACATGCGATTTTGTTTGTATATACGCCATTTTTAGGTAAACCCAAATCCGAATATAGTTGGATATAATTACTCATATCTTATGTCCCAGTATATTCAATTCCATTAATCACATCCCATGAAATATCCCCATTACTAGGTCATTCATCGATATCCACATCAAAATGCTGCAGTCCAGACTGACTCGCCGCAGCCTTCGTACCCTTCGTGAGGTGCGTCCTTCAGCGCATCAGATGACCTGGCTGAAGTCGGCTCAGTATGTGCTGGCGCAGCTGCTTGGGGCTATGCTCGCAGGCCCATGGGCCCATGGGCCCGAAGTCTGTTTTGGGTTTTTGGACGGTCCCCAAGGATAAGAAGAATGGGATTTCACCCCAACCAACAAGAACAAAGGCTATGTGACGTACATGAGTCGGTTTGTAACAAGGCCAACGATTCGATGTAGTGGATTATAGTTAGATAATGTTAGGGTTCCAAACGTACTTATAGTGGATGTTAAGGGGGTCCTTCATGTACTGTAGGTAATTTCTTTTTTGGCCACCAGTGTGGACATATTCTATACATGTCATTAGCCACGATTTTTTGAATGATGGTCAATTGGTTTGATAGAAAATGAATATGGGATTCAGTTGTGACCAACTCTTTGAAACAAAGAACCCAGAAACCCGGGGGGATCATTTCAGGCGGTTTTTCTGGATGGGATGATTCGTCTTTTCGCTGTCAAAAAAGGTGCCCTGAACCTGTTGATCTATGGCTCCACCATTGCCGCTTTCGAACGTGAGAATGGCATTACTCGGGGCGAGGCAAAGTCCATTCTTTCGGCCTCAGCATTTGGAGAATATTTTCCCAACCCAGGACCGAAGCAGCGGACAGTGGACAGTGATGACTTTGGGATACTTTTGGGTTGCTGGAAATTCTTTGACACATGGCTTTGTCTGAACATATGATCATATAGGGACCCCAAAAACTTGAGGATTGCTCATCCAATTCCCCATCAACAGTGACATGTCTTTTCGGTAAAGCACATGTCTTGAGACCAACAAGTTGACCTTTGATGTCCTGCCGGTTGCAGAAATCCTGTGTACGGGTTTCTGCGGCGAAGCCAAAGCGTGTTTTCTATTGTTTTTTAGTTGCTACACAAATGTATATATTATACATAGTATTGTTATGATAGATATATGTATTGTTCAATGATTTGGATGCTACTTTACAGTACACATCATCATCACACACACAACATGATACAGGATAGTACAAGTGTCCTCAAGTCCATCTACAGGACTCACGAAAGAGTGGGGAAGCGGTCCCTACGCTCTTGAGGATGTGTGACCAGGTTGCGTTGGAGTTAGGCCAGCATCGCTGGCTTAAGAAACATCTTTACATCCCAGTCATTCCCAGTTGCTAAGTCGTTCATATGCTTGGGTACAGAGTTCCCCCTAAAAAAATAAGAGATTGTTCTGAACTTGAACATGGGCTATGAACAATCTCTTTACGAGTTGTGACAACTAGTGACTAAGTGGGATGCTCATCCGGTGGATATTGCACGCTGCGATTCCCCCAACATGTGGCTGGAGGCCTACAAAACGGCTCCGGACACTCAAATTTGGACGGATTTGGTAGCTTAGACAGTCCGCAATTGCAGTGCTTGGGTTCTCCACCGGCAGCTTAGTCAGTCCGCAATTTTATCAAGTGTAGACAGTCTTTCGAGACAGCGTAGACTCTTGAAGTACTCGAACTGGCCAAACAAAAACTGTGCTTGTTTTGCAAGTCGCACCCTTGAGATCTAACTTTCCTCCCAAGGTCTGTGCTGGGTGCTTTGCTCACAGAAGCTTGGGGCACCTTTATTTTGGCCTTCGTGATTTTTGGCATCACCAATGGCGGCAACAAAGTCTTAGGCCCCGTTGATGTGGCCAAGATTTGTCGGCGGAACTGGGAAAGCAGGTTGATGGATGTTTGATGATTTTTGGCGTACTTCTCCCTGTGATATGATCTTACCCAGCTTGCATACATTCGAAGATTGGTTCAGGAGCAGGATTTCCAAACTATTTTTTTGTCCCTGCATTTTGAACGGATCATGTAATTTATATATAATTACACACATATGATCCTCCTTGGAATTATCTCTATAGAATACAGAACCTGGGCATACGATTCTATAGAGATGAAGTTGGTAGGCCAGTTTCTACTATAGAATGGTACCTGGATTGCGCCCATCCAGTTTTGGGAAAAAAACGTATCCAAAAATGATACCAAACTTGAGACATTGCAAACCCAGTTTTCTATTCTATAGGGGGTCTTTTTCCTAATCACTTGGACTAAGTTTTTCATTTTATAGTGGATTATTTGTTAGAAGCAGTGGCCAGTATGAGGCTGGGCTTTCATTTTATAGGAGTGGCAAAATCTTGCAGATGCCCTTTTGGGATTCACTGGGATAACAATTGGAAAGCCTTGACACAGATCTGATACATTTTGGTACATCTAGGCAATTCTAGGTAATGGCCTAAGCATCCCTGGGATACCCTGGGCAAATGTCAGAGTGCTGCCTATTTTTTTACCAGTTCCTGTGCAGTCAGTCAGGGATTCATTCTATAGGGATGGCATTTGGTAGAGTTCACGCCTCTCCACATGGAAACCCATTCTATAGGATCAACATGTCCCCTACCTTTTGCTGCATTTCTCAAGAATTTTGAAAGAATTGGGTGAAATTGGCATGACCTTTCATGAACTCGTTGCTGGCTTGGACGCCGGCTCCGGCTTCACAGACGCTGACGACCCAGGAGCTGCAGCCGGTGCACGGAGAGCCTCAGATCAGCACGCTGTGAACAGATTTCATTCATCTTCACCCTATTTCTGGCAAAACACATGAAAACCTGACAGAATCCTGCAGATGCCTTTGGGATCCTTTGGGATCCCCCTAGGATAACACTTGAAAAGAATTGACGCAGATCTGGTAGATCTAGGCAATTCTAGGTACTGGCCTAAGCATCCATGGGATACCCTGGGCACATGTCAGAGTGCTGCCTATTTGTTTATACAGTTCCTGTGCAGTCAGTCAGGAATTCATTCTATAGGGATGGCATTTGCTAGGTTTCACGCCTCTCCACATGGAAACCCATTCTATAGGATCAACATGTCCCCTACCTTTTGCTGCGTTTGTCAAGAATTTTGAAAGAATTGGGTGAAATTGGCATGACCTTTCATGAACTCGTTGCTGGCTTGGACGCCGGCTCCGGCTTCACAGACGCTGACGACCCAGGAGCTGCAGCCGGTGCACGGAGAGCCTCAGATCAGCACGCTGTGAACAGATTTCATTCATCTTCACCCTATTTCTGGCAAAACACATGAAAACCTGACAGAATCCTGCAGATGCCTTTGGGATCCTTTGGGGTCCCCCTAGGATAACACTTGAAAAGAATTGACGCAGATCTGGTATTCTAGGTACTGGCCTAAGCATCCCTGGGATACCCTGGGCACATGTCAGAGTGCTGCCTATTTGGTTATGCAGTTCCTGTGCAGTCAGTCAGGAATTCATTCTATAGGGATGGCATTTGCTAGGTTTCGCGCCTCTCCACATGGAAACCCATTCTATAGGATCAACATGTCCCCCACCTTTTGCTGCGTTTGTCAAGAAATCTCATAGAATTGGATGAAATTGGCATGACCTTTCATGAACTCGTTGCTGGCTTGGACGCCGGCTCCGGCTTCACAGACGCTGACGACCCAGGAGCTGCAGCCGGTGCAGGGAGAGCCTCAGATCAGCACGCTGTGAACAGATTTCATTCATCTTCACCCTATTTCTGGAAAAACACATGCATATTCATGCCTTTATGTCGTGTTTAATGCCTATAAAATGAAAACCTGACAGAATCCTGCAGATGCCTTTGGGATCCTTTGGGGTCCCCCTAGGATAACACTTGAAAAGAATTGACGCAGATCTGGTAGATCTAGGCAATTCTAGGTACTGGCCTAAGCATCCCTGGGATACCCTGGGCACATGTCAGAGTGCTGCCTATTCTTTACCAGTTCCTGCGAAGTCAGTCAGGAATTCATTCTATAGGGATGGCATTTGGTGGTTTTCATGCCTCTCCACATGGAAACCCATTCTATAGGATCAACATTTCCCCCAGCTTTGCTGAATGTCTCATGAAATCCCATTGAATTGGGTGGAATTGGCACGGCCTATCATGAACTCGTTACCCTTCAGCCACTCGGCATCTAGCAGAAGAGACCAAACGTTGCTGAATCATGGTGCTTGAATAATCTTAAAGATACTTGATCTTTATCCATGATTCAGCCACGATGCCGAGTGGCTGAAGGGTAGTGAGTTCATGATGGGCCGTGCCAATTCCACCCAACTCAATGGGATTTCATGAGACATTCAGCAAAAGCTGGGGGAAATGTTGATCCTATAGAATGGGTTTCCATGTGGAGAGGCATGAAAACCACCAAATGCCATCCCTATAGGATGAATTCCTGAGTGACTGCGCAGGAACTGGTAAAAAATAGGCAGCACTCTGACATGTGCCCAGGGTATCCCAGGGATGCTTAGGCCAGTACCTAGAATTGCCTAGATCTACCAGATCTGCGTCAATTCTTGTCAAGTGTTATCCTAGGGGGACCCCAAAGGATCCCAAAGGCATCTGCAGGATTCTGTCAGGTTTTCATTTTATAGGCATTAAACACGACATAAAGGCATGAATATGCATGTGTTTTTCCAGAAATAGGGTGAAGATGAATGAAATCTGTTCACAGCATGCTGATCTGACGCTCTCTCTGCACCGGCTGCAGCTCCTGGGTCGTCAGCGTCTGTGAAGCCGGAGCCGGCGTCCAAGCCAGCAACGAGTTCATGAAAGGTCATGCCAATTTCATCCAATTCTATGAGATTTCTTGACAAACGCAGCAAAAGGTGGGGGACATGTTGATCCTATAGAATGGGTTTCCATGTGGAGAGGCGTGAAACCTAGCAAATGCCATCCCTATAGAATGAATTCCTGACTGACTGCACAGGAACTGTATAAACAAATAGGCAGCACTCTGACATGTGCCCAGGGTATCCCAGGGATGCTTAGGCCAGTCCCTATAATACCAGATCTGCGTCAATTCTTTTCAAGTGTTATCCTAGGGGGACCCCAAAGGATCCCAAAGGCATCTGCAGGATTCTGTCAGGTTTTCATTTTATAGGCATTAAACACGACATAAAGGTATGAATATGCATGTGTTTTTCCAGAAATAGGGTGAAGATGAATGAAATCTGTTCACAGCGTGCTGATCTGAGGCTCTCCGTGCACCGGCTGCAGCTCCTGGGTCGTCAGCGTCTGTGAAGCCAGAGCCGGCGTCCAAGCCAGCAACGAGTTCATGAAAGGTCATGCCAATTTCACCCAATTCTTTCAAAATTCTTGAGAAACGCAGCAAAAGGTGGGGGACATGTTGATCCTATAGAATGGGTTTCCATGTGGAGAGGCGTGAAATCTACCAAATGCCATCCCTATAGAATGAATTCCTGACTGACCGCACAGGAACTGGTAAAAAAATAGGCAGCACCCTGACATTTGCCCAGGGTATCCCAGGGATGCTTAGGCCAGTGCTTAGAATTTCCTAGATGCACCAAAATGTATCAGATCTGTGTCAAGGCTTTCCAATTGTTATCCCAGTGAATCCCAAAAGGGCATCTGCAAGATTCTGTCAGGTTTTCATCATCCTATAAAATGGAAACCCAACCACCCTTCTATAGAATAGTCACCAAGTATGTTCTTTTGTGGAATGGTTCGAACCCAGATCCAAAAAGTGAAACCAAACTTAAGGCGTTCCAAACCCAGTTTTCTATTCTATAGGGGGTCTTTTTCCTAATCACTTGAACTCAGTTTTTCATTTTATAGTGGATTATTTGTTAGTAGCAGTGGCCAGTATGAGGCTGGGTTTTCATTTTATAAGAGCGGCAGGGGGCTGTTGGCTTGGTAGGGTTTCTATTCTATAGGGAAAATCCCCCCCCTTAGTCCTGGGTTTTCGTTTTAGTCCCTATAGAATCAGACACCCAGGTTTGGTCCGAATTCCAACAGGGATCACATATGTATATATCTATATATTCTAAGCTTCTGAGTCTGAGTAGCCCGAGTTGCGGCTTGGCATTGAAGTGTGTCTGTCTCGGAAGGCAGCATGGAACGAGTTGGGGTGCCTTTCACCATTGGCATGACAGTACCTGGGATGGATGTTGGATGATGTTGGCTTGAAGCAGAAACATCCGCAGCAACACAATGTATGATGATAATATGATATGTTATGCTTTTCTTGCAAGTGGTCCAGATATTCCGGATCATTCATATGTGGGGAAATTGTATTGGAGAGGGCTTGAACAACTGCCTAAACCATTGTGACTGACTCAAGCAGATCTGAAAACAAGAAGTAGAGCTCACCTGTAATCAGTCCAGTGGCAAAGCATTGAACCTCCACAGGCCCAAAATTGTGCGACACGACGTGAGCTCATTTAAGATCGTTCATGAACGATGAGGGATCTGAAATATGGCCCCTGTCACCCAAATCAAGCATTTCTAGTTGAGGGTTTGGTCTTGTGAAGCAAGCAGTGGGTCGACGTTTTTTTCCAACCTCATGATTAGATGTTCAATCCAGTCAGCACTGGCTAACAACCAAACGAGTACGTCAAACTGTTATCCCCTTGATGATTTTGATGCAGACCCATGATATATATGGTGCTATGAATTGCCATTGACAATTCTTAGGCTGTCCTAAAAGAATGTTTCAGCTGCCTCAACTTGCATTTCGGAGCAACCATAATTATACATATAACAATCGCCAGGATGATTCACATAGGATTTCTAGTACTGTACATGTATCAAATTGCGTGATTATATATGATATGTATATACTCATATATAAATGTTATAAATACATAATGTATCCCCGTTAACATGCCTGCGAGTCAAACATTGGAGTGCCAACAAGTTCAGCTTGGTCCATAGTCATGGCGTCCAGAGCTGTCTAAGATCACCTGATTCGTGTTCGAGACGTATGGCCCCAGTGACAACCCCTTTGCTTTGTGATTAAAGATCCCCAATCGAAACTTTGGTTGTGTATTGGATCACTTCATCTTGGTAGCTCATTGACGTGTTTTTTTTGTCAGGGTGATGTGTTTACTCTCCAGCGAATTCATATACCCTCTGGTTATTTAACATAGCCATGGAAAATGGCCCATTTATAGATGGTTTACCTATTAAAAATGGTGATTTTCCATGGCTATGTTAAATAACCAGATGGTAGATTGACATAGATTTTTTGTCAATGGAGAATCCACCATGTTTCCTTCCTTCTAATGGAAACCCGCCCCCCTGGACATGACTGCCAAAGGTGGCTGTCTTGCTGCCGCTGTATGCTCCCATTACACAGGCAGCAACTGTGCTGCTGGGGTTAAACAGAGCCGTAACACAATACCCCCATTGATTGGTTACAGTGGGTTGTACTAGCAGGTTGAAAGGGGACTATTGAATATTTATGAAGCAACCAGTATGATGGGATGGGATAGGAGGTATTTTTTTCATTGCTCAGATAGAAGACAGGTGATAGCTTACATCTCCGGACTTCTGAGTGTTTGAAGGTCGGGTAGAAGGAATGCCATTCTTTTATCAAAAGTGTTGTCACCCTGGACCAAGAATGAATTCGGAACATGACTTTGCTGTTGGATCTCCGATCTTCTCTTTCATCTCGAATTGCTGTCGGGCTGCAGTTCAAGGGGAAGTGCTGCAGAATTGCCACATACCCGGATGTTCATCTTCTGGTGCTGTTGCTTCCTCATGGATGTGGAATCAAAAAGGCTCCTGAAGCATCCTGAAACAATGTCAAGCAATAGCATTAAATTAGGATTGGGACTTCCTAGACACCATAAAATTTACAACATTTTGCAGCTAGTTTCATTCAACTAGTTGCAACCCTAGTCAGTAGCTGCAGAGTCCACTATTTCAATCTATTTCACCTCTTTGACCCAGCAGTTGTTCTGGTATTCCAGAGTTAGTTACCATTTTTTTTGGTAAAGACAACCTTTTGTGGGTCATGGAACGGAACATGATGATCCCATGAGTTGGTCATGAGTTTTTTTTTTCAGGGCGAGACCCACAGACCTTTTCCTTTTCTGATTCCTTTTCCAAGTCACCTGCATAAGAACATTACTATAGTTACTATAGTTTATGTTTAGAAATGATTCACCACACTTAAACCATTTGGTTCCTAACCAATATTTACCCATTATATCATTAAGCCATTATTTACACGGTAGATTAATGATTCCCACTCCGGTGCTTTTGTTGGTCAGCGCTGCCAGGCCGGTTGGAACCCCGCGCGCGACTTTGGGCCTCGCGTTATTGCAGCCCTGGGCGGCTGGGGTGAAGTGGCCATTCCAGGGCCTCGCACCTTGGCGTTGGGAACTGATAGAGATCCTGTAGGATGCTATAGGGAGTTATACCCTCTGGTTACTATGGAAAGATCCACCATTTTTAATGGGTAAATCAACTATTTCTATGGCCAAATGGCCATTTTCTATGTCGCAAACTGTTAGTTTACCAGAGGGTATAGCTATAGGGAGTTATAACTTGTAGGGGTTGCCTATAAAGTCTATAAGCAAGAGTTATGGAATTAGATAGCTATTAGGTGTAGGTACATAACAGCTATAGCTAGTTATTGGAGTACAGGGAGTATAGCCGCATATAGCAGCCATTGAGGTGTTATACCCTGATTGGTGATTGTAAGGTATACTACCTGCTTATTGGGGATGATTGCAACGCATATTAGGGAAACCTGTCAACCAACTAGTATAATGAGATGGGATAGGGATGGATAGGGGTGATCTGAATGGGTGAAGTATATAGCAACCCTTCAAATATATATATATATATATGTAAGTATACGTCGTATGTTTGTATGTATTGTAATGCATTGTAATGTATCGTAATGTATTGTAACGCATCGTAATGTATCGTAATGTATTGTAACGAAACGTAATGTATCGTAATGTATTGTGGTGTATTGCAATGTATTGTAATGTATTGTAATGCATTGGTAATGTATTGTCATGTATTGTAATGTATTGCCATGTATTTTGGTAATGTATTGGTGATGTATTGTAATGTATTGTACTGTATTGTAGTGTATCGTAATCTATTGTGATGTACTGTAATGTATTGTAATGGGTTGCAATGTTTTGCACTGTATTGCAATGTATTGTCATGTATTGGTAGTGTATTGAAATGTATCGTAGTGTATTGTAATGTGCCATAATGTATTGTAATAGAATGTCATGTATTGTAATGTATGGTAATGTATTGTAATGCATTGTGATTGTATTGTAATAGAATGTAATGCATTGTGATTGTATTGCAATAGAATGTAATGTAATGAAATGTATATATTGGTAATGTATTGAAATGTATTGGTAATGTATTGTAATGTGTTCGAATGTATTGCAATGTATTGTAATGTATTGTAATAGAATATAAGGAATGTAATGTATTGCAATGTATTGTAATGTATTGTAATGTATTGTAATGTATTGTAATGTATTGTAATGTATGCTAATGTATTGCAATGTATTCTAATGTATTGCAATGTATCGGACTGTATTGTAATGTATTGTCATGTATTGGTAATGTATTGAAATGTATTGGTAATGTACATGTATTGTAATGTATTCTAATGTACTGCAATGTATTGTAATGTATTGTAATAGAATATAAGGAATGTAAGGTATTGTAATGTATTGCAATGTATTGTACTGTATTGTAATGTATTCTAATGTATTGCAATGTATTGTAATGTATTGTATAATAATGCAATGTATTGTAATGTATTGTCATGTATTGTAATGTATTGTAATGTATCGCAATGTATAGCAATGTATTGTAATGTATTGTATTGTAATGAATTGTAATGTATTGTAATAGAATGTACTGTCATAAAATGTACTGTCATAAAATGTAATGTATTGTAATGTATTGTAATGTATTGTAATAGAATGTAATAGAATGTATTGCGTTGTAATGTTTTGTAATGTATTGCACGTATGTATCTATATAGTTTATATATAATGCTATAATGATTGCCTGGGCAGCACATCCAAGCATAGTGAGCAATTGGTATGTTGAAGATACATTTTGATAACACGGGAATTCCTCTCTTTGAGTATCCCTCTTTGCCAGGCGAAGGTGGTGATTTTTCCACCGTGATCCATCGCTGTTTTGGAAGGTCAAATCCTCATGATGTTGGGCCGATCCGGTGACGCTGATGGGATCATTCTTCAACCGAGGCAATGGATTTTGGATTTACATCGTGGGACCTTGCGTCTCGGTGACGACGGTTGGGTTCGGCGGTTCTCGGTGCAGCAAAGTGCAGCAGGGAGCGCGGGAAAGGGGAAATCCCCGAACGAAATGGGCATTTAAACGTAAAATCATCGAACTAAATGGTGGATTTTCCAGCAAGCCATGCTTGATTACCAGAGGGTATGTGTGTAAACGAATGGATTTTGTGGCTGCAAATCTCGTTTTTAAAGCGTGATAACCATTGTGATTAGCGGGTTACTCTTGCATTTTTATCCCGTCCGGTAATCAAACATAGCAATTGGACATCCCCCAGCTATAGAGGATTTTCCCAGTAAAACCTGGAGGATTTTCCATGGTCACGTTTGACTACCAGAGGCTACTTCAATGAGAGTGGCAATTGATGGATATTGATGGGATACAACCAAGAAAAACCCATGGTTTCCACGAAGATGTTGGGATTTACCCAGGAGGACATGTGGTTCTTCGGAACTGTGTTTCTTGGGGAAAAGGGATGTGTAGGCATGGTGCATTCTTTGTTTGCTATTGATCTTAGAAACCACTTGTCAAAAGCTACCTATCTTTGTTTAAACGTTTAAACAAAGGGGTAGTAAACTGGTCGATTTTGTTTGAACATGGTATTGTGATGTATTGTGGTATACCATTAAAACATACTCCAGAAACCCAGGTTTAGTGACTGGATTTGTCCCACTGTGGATTCCCATGAATTTCGGTGTGTTTGTTTTGTAAATGGAGGAGGGGAGTATATGTTATCACAGCACATACACAAGGATCCCAGCAGATGAAAATAGACGAGTTTCTCCAGGTCGTAACTTGCAGGTGTTCATCTCTTCTTTCTGTTTCGGGGGCAACTATTTACCAAAATGCTTGGGGTGGTATACCATATTGTGATATTGCAACCTTGTCTTCAGTCACTGACCGTTTTTCGACCAATCATTTACCACCCGGTTACCACATATTGCATACCATTTTAGCGCGGCAACTACTTGGAGGACTGAGCAATTGCACCATCCATGAGATACAGTAACTATGAACTACTTGAAGAACATAGATTTCTGGTTAAAGATGGTCGCTATAAGACCATAGTTATCCTTGGGATACTTTTTGCTATGGTTCTCTAAATCATAGACGGAGTGGTGTTTGAAAATAGCTACAACAACCCCCAAAAGATAGAAGGTTTATACTTGATACTGTATGTTAGATCTCATTTGTATTACCATTGTATCCCAATTATATTCCATTGTATACATATATATATACATAACATCCCCAGGCAAGTAAAAATAGTTTATAGGGGTCCCCAAAAAGTGCCTAAAACTGTTTCCAGGAGGTGCATAATGATATGTCAAAACACATCTACAATTGGTCCACTGAAACTACAACCGGATCCCCTCTGGTAATGACTAACAGTTTGCTACTGAAAATGGCACATTGATAGTTGATTTACCTATTAAAAGTGTTAAAATCGTTGATTTATCCATCAAACATAGGGGTTATAGTTGATTTACCCATTAAAAATGGTGATTTACCATCCATTCACCACTATTTTCACCATCATTAACCATTGTTATAACCATCATTAACCATCATTAACCGAACTTACAGATGGTGATTTTCCAGTTCGCAAACTGTAAACGTTTACCAGATCTCCAAGGCTTGGGAGCACCCCTGGGCGCCTTCCTCGCCGAGAAGATCCTGTGGAAATAAAGCGGCGCCGCCGCCGTTTAGCAGCGAAAACTGGGGAGTTTAACCAAGAAAAATGGGGATTTAGTTGGGATATAGCTGGGGTATGATTGGTAAATGGGATATGTATATGTTTTTTTTTTGATTTGGGGTGAACCATTTGAAAACTGGGGCTTTTAAGCAAGGACAGGCTTCAAGCATGAAGATTAGGCAACCAAATATGGGATTCAAATAACCAGCACATACCCGTGTGGGTCGAACCAAGCAACCACGGACCGATCCAACATGCTTGGCGATTCTCTATCAACCCACCGACCATTTCACATTTTTTCCAACAATAAGGGTCCAACAAAAACAATAGGGGGATCACACAAAAAAAAGGTGTTCAGGGGGAAACTCATGATGAACTGCAAGATTTCGAGGTATCCCATTTTCACAGGGACCAATGAAGGTCCATGAAGCACCGACAGCAAGGGTCAAGCCAAGGTCCAACCCCATGCAAAGTGCAAGCAGGACATGGGGCCGCTGCCAAAGACCCCTCAGCGCGAAGTGCTTGGGATTCCAAAAAGGTGGATGATGGGTTTTTAAGTCCCGAGTTTAACAACCTACATTGCTCACCAAGCAGTGAATTGTAAAAGCTGGCGCGAGTGAAGTTTTGCCACTTTGTTTTTGTGGATCTACACGGTGGGAAGCATCATCCAACTTCGGTACAGAGTGAAGTTTTGCGCCGCTGGTCACTGGAGTCCCAGCATGTCCCGTGCCTTGGGAGCTCCGTTTGATGTGACCACGGTTTTTCCATGCCGCTGCCTCCAAGAGGCATTGACGGTTGGGAGTGGCGGTTATAACCGGTGGTTGTTGCGAAAAAAACTTCAATGAAGTCATGGGGATATTCCGTTGCCACATGGCCTTTTTTCCCGAGCAGAACGGTTGTACAACCGCCCCTGGAAAAACAATCTTAAGATCATCTTAAAATCATGGTTGACCATGGTCCCGCACGGTTGAATTCTACATGATTGTTAAGGTTGGCCTCATCCTATTTGTGGTAGAAGGCATTGCTGATGGAGCCAATGATTTATAATTCCGGCAAGTTAGTACATTGATAATTGATAGATATTGATACTTAGGGGGGAGGAATGCCACTTGCAACATGTGAGCTCATTTGGATAGACCCAAAAATGTAGATGCAGATGGCAACGACCGCCCAGCTGCATGTTGACACCGCTGCGACGGAACTGCAGATGCCAAGACTCCTAAAGCAAGATGTGGGATGAGTTGGGTGCAGCTCAGAGATTGTGGTCATTGGATGTCGTTGGCCCTTGCAAGTGCCAAGCGTGACAGATATATGAATTATTGTGAATGAACGTAGTCTGTACCTCTGTGGTTTCTTGGAAAACCCAAAGTTTGACTACACAACTGGACCAATCTTTGTCTTTCTTCCTCGAGGTTGCCCAATTCTCAGGACCGTCATGGTTCTCATGTTTTGCATTGATCCATCTCGAGGTATCTACGATTGCTAGCATTTCTGCAACACTACCTGCCACAAGGCCAGTCATGTTGACCCAGCATTGCTGAAACAAATCTGAAAGAAGTGCTAGTTTAGCTAGTTTGATAGTTGGCGTTCCAGTTTAACAGAAATACAAATCACTTAACCAGTAGTAGTGATTTGTAGTAGTGCCTGGGACACCCCTACTAGTGCCTTAACCACTACTATTTAACCAGTTGGGACAGCCCTACTAGTAGTAGTTACCCTAGGCCCTAGTTATCTAGTCAGCCAGACTTTCCGGGGGGATAATCATGACCCAACTGAAAAATCTTCAGATGAATGTCCTATGCTATATGCAGCATGGGCCTGGAAAATAGCTATATATAATTACATATCACTATTAATACATGTACAACAATATATTTAATATATAATATAATATATATATATATATA